CTGAAGATGGCCGGTGCCCCTCCGGACAGGACAAAGGGATCAAGGAGATGAAGGGAAGGTGCGGCGTTCTGGGAATTCCTAGTGGACAGCTGGGCTTGGCTGGACAGGTGAGATGAGACAGGAAGGCCAAGGCATGAGGCAGGAATGCAGAGCAGAGGGGGGGCGCGGCAGGGCCCAGGATCCCACTGAGCCTCTGAGATCACGCTGCTTCACTCACAACCTCGTCAGGCAGATAAGATGAGAAAGCGGCCGTGACTACTGGGAGTCCAGGCTACAGAGCCAGAAAGATGGGACAGCATGCAGTGCATGACCCTGGCCAAGTGACCTCACCTCCCGCCCTCAGTTTCCCTACTTGGAAAATGCCTACCTTGAAAATCTGTAAAGACAGACAAAGGAAGTCATGGAATGGGGCCTCAGGGAGCTGGTGGGGCCTGCATCCTACAGGGGCCACCACTCCCATCTCCTCCCAGAAGCACCCACTTCCTCCCTCCTTTCCCTTTCACCTGCCCGAGGTGGGGTGAGAACATCCACTCCCTGCTCTTCTCTGCACCCCAGGGCCCCTGGCCCCGCTCTGACCTGTCCTGATCTGGGAGAGTGTTAGAGTTGGGGTTCCCAGCCCTACCCCAAGGCACTCCCTCCATGAGAAGGAAGCCCAAACTCGAGTCCTGGCAGGACTCCCCTCTGCTGTTCACACATCTCCAGCTGTCACACAACACCCCACTTCCCCCGGCAGACAGCCACATGGGTCTGAACCACCTGGGGCATTCACGAAGGGCTTTACACACATAACATCTCATCATCCTCACAGCTGCGGGTCTTCTTGCCCCCATCTCAAATATGGGAAAGCCGAGGCTCAGAGGGGAGGAAGGTCAGCTGGCCAGAAAGGAGCAGCTCTGAGCATGAGAGCTCAGTTGTGTCCGCTAACCCGGTGGAAATCCTGTGCAGACCATGAGGCAGAGCAGCCCTTTGTTTGCAGAAAGACTTTGAGCCTTTTGGGGGGGTCACTGCTGCCCAGGCCCTATGGTCATAGCCTCGCCCCAGCTCCTCTTGCCCTGTCTCCATCACCAGAGTCTCGAGCTGCTCCTTTTCCAGGTTGTCAGATGTCAGGGCTGGAAAAAGTCCAGACTCGGGTGCCCATGAGAGCAGAGAGATTAGGAAAGCAGAAAAGGGGAGCAGTTACCCGAATCAAGCCAAATGCTCTCTGTGGCTCCCTGCCCTACGCATGCACACCTAGCAGGGGCGCTTAACTGCCTGGGGAGAAAGCCCCAGGGCAGATGTGTTCCCCGTAGTTAAAAGCAAGGCATTGGTGCCAGATATTTGTGGGTTTAAATCTCAGCTCTACGACAGAGTCCATCCCTGGGTAAGGGACTTAACCCTAGAACAGAGAGAAGAATGCCTCTCCTGGCTTGGAGATTTCACAGAAGGGAAGTTTGTTTCTAAAAGCCAAGGGCTTGGGGCACCTGGGAGGCTCAGTGGTTTAAGCCCCTGCCTTCAGCTCAGGTCATGATCTCAGGGTCCTGGGATCGAGACCCACATTGGGATCTCTGCTCAGTGGGGAGCCTGCTTCCCCCTCTCTATCTGCGTGCCTCTCTGCCTACTTGTGATCTCTCTGTCAGATAAATAAACAAAATCATTAAAAAGAGATAAATAAATACAAGCCAAGGGCTCAGCCCCCCTTCATGCATGGTCTCAGGTAGCTTCGTAACGGCTCTATTATTATTCCTCCCATTTTACAGATGAGGAGTCTGAGGTGAACGAGTCTTCCCCAGGTCACACAGCTGGGTGGGGGCTTGAATCCCAGTCCCAAGTGACTAAGTCAGAAGCATTTACACCACCTCAGAGAGGTCCCCCTTCCTGCTCTCCTAGGAACTGTTGTTCTCTGCCACCGCCAGCCCACAGGGTAGTGGGCCCTGAGTGACAAGTTCAACCATGACAGGGTGGCCCTGCCCAGCTGTGGTGCAGTCCCCGAATGGCTGACTGCCCTTGCTCTTGGGCTGGGCTTGCGGATGGCTTCCTGGGCACACAAGGGGCTGGGACCAGCTGCAGCAGGGACTCCTCCAGGCGGCTCCCCGGCCATATTGTTTGGGGCCACCCTACCCTGTAACCATGATGGGTGCCTGTCTCCCATGGAGGGGTATAAGTCCTTCTAGGGGGCCTGCTGGTAGGGCAACCAAAGGGAGAAGCCGGACTTGAGCTTCTCTCTTGTTTAGGCACTTTCCCAGGCCCTGGGAGAGGCCTCAGCAAATCTGTATTGTGACTTTGTAGTCTTTTTCTTAAAATGGACCTCAAATTGTATAAACATGGTGTAGCTCTGTAGAAGCCAGAGCTAGGGCTCTATGAAGCCTAGCTCTATCCCCAGGCTGTGGACACTGGAAAGTGTTCCATCCTCCTCTTCATCTGTATTGTGTGACCTTAGGCGAGACCCCCACTTTCCCATCTATGCAAGGGGGATGAAGCCTGGCGTTAGGCGGGTACAGCAGGGTCAATGAGAAGGGCTCAGGGTACTCATCCTTTATGAAAGGCTCAAATTCTCAGAGGGCTTTCACCAGCCTGTACTTGTTCCATCTCCAACAGCCCGGTGGAGTAAGCGGAGCCTCCTACCCCCGCTTTCCAGCTGAGAAAGGGAGGCTAGGAACTGAAGGCGCAGGCCGGAGCCCCTCCCTCCATGCACTCCCCCCAACCCCGACCCCAGGGTCTGCACCCAGGATGGCGAGCCCGGCGTGGGAGGAGTGGGGAACAGAGGATGCGGGGACCGCGCGGAGGAGGCAGGGGGAGGAGGCGGCGTCCCGCACTGTCTCACCGCAGGACCGACCTCGGCGCTTATCTGCTCGGGCAGCTTCCGCCCCCCCAGCCCAGCCCCCCACCGCAAGCCGGGCCCCCGCCCCCCGCCTCCGGAGCGCCCGCGGCGGGGCGGGGAGGGGCCCTCCCCCGTCGCCCGCCCCCAGGGAGCGCCGAGCTGCAGCGGGCCGCTGCCCGGCCGAGCGGAGAGGGGCCCGGCCCCCAGGTGAGGAGCCGGAAGTGATCAATAACGCCGGGGCTGGGGGAGGCTGGGGGAAACGGGGGGCGGAGGGGGACACCGGCGCGGGGAGGCCCCCTGGCTCCAGCCCGCCGTCCTGGCCTCCCCTGCCCAAGCTGGGAGGGGGGCCGCGAGGGTAGAGGAGCGGGGTTCCCCAAAGCCCCGGGAGCAGGAGGAGCGGCGGGGGGCGGTCTACGCAGGTTTCTGAGGGACTCGCGCCCCCCACCCACACGCACGCGCGCGCGCACTAGCAACGCCCACGGGCGCGCTGGCACAGATGTGGGAGGGAAGAGAGAAGTGGAGACACCTTGGAGAAAGTGAAAAGCCAGCCACAAAACAAAACAAAACAAAAAAAAAAACAAGAACAAAAACGGGAGGAGATGCCCGCCACATGCGACCGGCAAAGTTCAAGCATCACAAATACCTAAAGAACTTTTGGAAGCCCACGGTGGGTGGGGAGGAGAAACAAGGAATCCGTCAGAAAAACTGCTAAAAGACATGAACGGGCATTTTTAAGTAGAGGAAGCACAAGTGTTCGGTGACCGTCTGAGGGATGCTCCCGCTCATTGGTGTTGAAGGAACCACAAGAACGACCAGGGTGGGATGCTCTTTGACGCCACTGGGAGGGCAAAAACGAACCAGCGGGGCAGCACCAAGTGTTGGAGAGGAGGTGGAGCCGCGCAGTCTCGGGGGTATTGCTAGTCAGCGGCTTTGTAACCACTAGAGAGAACAATCTGGCCTTATCTTATAAAGCCGAGGCCCAGCAGATCCATACCCCACCCCCCCCCCCCCCCCCGGCATAAAAAAGAGAGACCTTGGCAGATGCTCCAAGAAACCCTGGGCAAGAACGTTCAAAGCTGCCTTTTTATTTATCTTTTTAATTAACACATAATATATTATTTGTTTCAGGGGTACAGATCTGTGATTCATCAGTCTTACACAATTCACAGGGCTCACCATACCTTCCCCAGTGTCCGTCATCCAGCGACCCCATCCCCGCCCCCCCCAGCAATCCTCAATTTGTTTCCTGAGATAAAAAGTCTCTTATGGTTTGTCTCCCTCTCTGGTTTCGCCTTGTTTCATTTTTCCCTATAGCAAAAGTCTCAAAGTAACCCAAAAGTCCACCAACAAGAGATTGGGCAAATAAATTACAGGGGATCCATCCACACAGCGGCACATGGTTCAGCAGGTCAGCAAGCAAATGAACCAATTTCACATAATAACATGAATGAATCTTACTTGATTCATTGGTTTGAGTGAAAAAGCCAGTCCCAGAAAAATACTTGCCCTTCCTGTGAAGTTCAAAACCCAGCCAAGCCGTATCTCTACAAATAGCAATGTTGGTTCCTTCCTTCTAATACTTTTGTTATTAGGAGATGACAAAAGACTTAAGAGTAAGTTTGAGAATTTAGGAGAACCGGTAGAAAAAAAAATTTAGTTGGTTTACCAGGTATCAAAGCAATACGTAAAAATAATTTGCCTTCCCGTGGGCTATCAATAAATCATCCAGAATGTAATGCGAACTATCCTATTCAAAATAGTTGCAAAAATATAAGATACTTTAAAGCAAATATTAATAATTATGCAGGTCCTAAAAGAAAACAATTGTAAAACTCACTGAATAATGTAAAAGAGAACCTTATAACAACTTTTATTTTCCTTAGTTTTATAAAAGAGCCAAGCGGAGCCTGAGTGGAGCGTGTGACTCTTGATCTTGGGGTTGTACAATCAAATACCACATTGGATGTAAAGATTACTTAAAAATATAATCTTTAGGATGCCTGTGTGGCTCAGTTGTTAAATGTCTGCCTTCGGCTGGGGTCATGATCCCATGGTTCTGGGCTCAGCGGGAAGCCTGCCTCTCCCTCTCCCATGCCCCCTGCTTGTGTTCCCTCTCTTGCTGTGTTTCTCTCTGTCAAATAAATAAATAAAATCTTAAAAATAAATAAATAAGTAAATAAATTCTTTAAAAATCAGTCAATAAGCCAAACTTGTCTTTCCTTCCAGAAGCCCACAGGGCAGGCAGGAATGCAGGAGACAGGGCTAAGAACCCCAAAGACACACAACACTGAGGGCCTTCAGCCTGGACAGATTCAGAAAGCTTCAGGGAGGGGCAGGCTTGTAAACGTGCTAGATTTCAATCAATAGACAGCAGAAGAGGAAGAACATGCCAGGCCTGCCAGGGGATGGGAAAGGGGTTGTAAAGGGGGTTATAAAGGCAGAGAGGCCGGACAGAAAGTAGTGAGACTTGGCTGCACATGGGCTGCCTGGGAAGGGTTGCTAGGGGAAAGGGGGGTTGCTATGGAGTTGCTGGGGCCTCATCTGGCCAGGGCTCAGTATTTGGAGGAGAGCTAAGGCTACTCTAGGAAGAATGACTTGAGAGAGGGTTAAGGTCAGGGGTACCCCAGGGGGAGGCTTGGTATGGAGAGGTGGAGCCTGAATCCATTGTAAGAGCATCCTCATTTCGGCTGTGACTTTGGGCAAGGTCATCCCGGCCCTGAGCCTCAGATGCCTTTTTACAGAGGTTGCTGCCCGCCAGTGGACTCCATGAAAAGCCCTGAGAAGGAGGCCCACATTCTGGAAGCAGAGAAAATGTGCATCAACCCCCAGCCTAGCGCATCTAGCACTGCACTCCCGGAGGAGGGGTAAGGTTGTCATAACATTGGCAATGCCCAGCCGTGATGGTCTTGCAGTGACCGGCTCCTCCTCAGGCCCGGGCCCAGGGGCAATCCTACCTTCTGGAAATAGAGGGCTGAGACCTGGTGGCTGAAAAGCCCCCACTAAAGAGACCAGAGCCAGGAAGAATGTGTTAAATTCAGACCCAGTGAAGTCAGAGAAATGGGTCTGCAGCCCCCCCCAATTCAGACGCCTCCCTGCTACTCATATCCAAGCACTGTTTAGGCTCATCTGGCCTGCTAAAGCTTTTCTGCTCAGTGCCTCAACCCAGAATGTCCCTGAGGCCCCCACACCACTTGATAAATGCATTGGAAAACGCTTATCTGTGCTCAGCAAGGAGAGGAGAGAGGACGGTCCCCATCATGTGTCTCTATCTGTCCATTACTGTAGTATTTTCTTTTTCTTTTCCTTTTTGTTTTTTTAGAGGGGCGGGAGGGGCAGAAGGAGAGAGAGCGAGCATTCGAAGCAGGCTCCACACCTAGCGCAGAGCCCCACTCAGGGCTCGATCTCATGACCCTGAGATCATGACCTGAGCTGAAATCAAGAGTCAGACGCTTAACCAACTGAGCCATCTAAGTGCCCCTATAACGTTTTCTTTCCTTTTTTTTTTCCTAACATATTCTTTATACCCATGTATTCACACCTATAAATAATAACAATATCTAACGCCGAAGTAGAAATTCTCATAGTTCTAAGGCATAGTTCTAAGTGCTCTGTATGTATTCATTCATTTACTCCTCACAACAATCTGATACAGTAATCCATTTTACAAATGAGGAAACTGAGGCATAGGAAGTCAAGTAATTTTTTTAAAAGAGTTTTATTTATTTGAGAGACAGAGCTTGTGCGCACGTGTGCACATGCATGAGCAGGGGGAGAGGCAGAGAGGGAAGAAGAGAAAAGGGGGAAAAAATCTGAAGCAGACTCTTAGCTGAGCATGGAGCCCAATGTGGGGCTTGATCTCACGACCCTGAGATCATGACCTAAGCCGAAACCCACTCAGACCATCCACCGACTAAGCCACCCAAATGTCCCAGGAAGTCAAATAATTTGCTCCAGGAAGTCTGGTGCCAGAATCTGATTGTCTTAACAAAAAAGCTAGGAGGCCATAACATACACCTACACATATGAGATTTTATATACACACAAATTTAATTTATATATAAATTTGCACAATTGTATAAATGTGCTCATATACATATTTTAAATTCTTCCTTTAAAATTTTCTCCTGCCCCAGGTGCCTGGGTGGCTCAGGCAGTTAAGTGTCTGCCTTTGGCTCAAGTCATGATCCTGGGGTCCTGGGATAGAGACCCATGTCAGGCTCTCTGCTCGGCAGGGAGCCTGCTTCTCCTTCTCCTCCCCACTCTTACTCTCTGTCTGTCACTATCTCTGTCTCTCTCAAATAAATAAAATCTTTTAAAAAAATAAATTTTTTTCCTCCCCCAACCATGGAATCCATGTTATCACCCAATGTATGATTTTCTACATCTTTTATTTCTACTTATGTACTTATTTATACTTATATATACTGATACCTGTAATCACATGTACTTATACATGGTTTCTTTTGTCATTTTTTTTTAAGTAGGCTTCATGCCCAATGTGGAGCCCAACGTGGGACTTGAACTCACAACCCTGAGATCAAGACCAGAGCTAAGATCAAGAGTCAAACACTCAACTGACTGAGCCAACCAAACACCCCCTTTTGTTATTGTTTTAAAATAATAGATTGGGGCACCTGGGTGGCTCAGTCGGTTGGGTGTCTGCCTTCAGCTCAGGTCATGATCTCAGAGTCCTGGGATGGAGCCCCACATCTGCTCTGCAGGGAGCCTGCTCTCTCTCTCTCTCTCCCCCTCTGCCTACTTGTGCTCTCTCTCTCTCTCTCTCTCTGTCAAATAAATAAAATATTTTTTAAAAATAGTAGATCATGTTAAATAAATCATTTCTGCACATTTCTTTTCTCATTCATCTTGACTTGGAAGCCCTTGGCAGAACTAATTCACTGTTCCTAACAGCCACACACCAGGCCACCCACCATGTCTTTCTATCTGGTCCTCCCTGCTCGAGGTCCTCTTCTAGAGCCCCCTGATATGCCCCTTTTTTGACTCCATTGGAATCTGACGGTGGAAATTCCAGGGCAGGTGAGAGGAAAGGACAGTGAGAAGACAGCCAGTGACATTTCAGGCTGGGTCTTGCCTACCCTCTTGTGGGTGGCCCACAGCCCTCAGCCCCCAGCCCCCAGAGGCAGGAATGCTGACTGTGTTATTGTGAAATCATTTGTATATTGTGAAGTGCTTTGCATACCATGGAGTGATTTGCATACAGGGTTGGAGGGGTAGCATCTTTGAGATCCCAGAGCAGTATCCCTGATTGTCTTCCTCCCTTTGCAAAGAATCCAACCCAGGGCTTCCACTTCAGAACCCTTCAAGCCCAGGAGGGCGTTCTGGCAGACCTATGGGCCAGGTGTGCTGAGGCAGACATGAGGCTTCCAGAGGAAAACTGATCCCACCTGGAGGGACTTGGGTGGGGCGGTCTAAGAACGGCAGACACTGGAGTGTGAAGTGGAACAGGGAAGCAGGTGCAGTATGTGAGAGCCTAGGGTGCCCACAGAGCCCCCAGGACAGTTGAAGGGAGCTACCATGGGAGACACAGGAAGGTCAGAGGCTTGGAGACTCCCATCCCGAGGCAATCTCTGCCCAAGTCCCCACATGCCCCATCCTGAATATTATACAGTCTTGCCTGATTTCCAGAGAAAGATGCAAAATGGAACCTCCAAGTCAGACTCCCACCCCCTAAAAGTGACAGGTGCTGTCACATGCTCTGGGTTCAGGGACACCCAGATTCAAACATGGCTCTGTCCTCTGTGCCACTGTGTGGCCCTGGGCTAACGGTACGCCTCTCGGTGGGATCAAAGGATTCAGCGAGACAGTGCAAACGGAGTGAATGGCACATAGTAGTGCTCGGTAAATAATGCTGCCCTAGTCTCAGGTCAGGCCTAGCTCCCTCCTGCTGAGGAAAGCCCGAGCGAGAGCTCCCCCAAGTTTGGGGTTCCGAGCAGCAGTGTCAAGACACCATGCATTGGACCCCAAAGGGTTACAAGCCCTGGAGACAAAGGCCTGAGGTTCCCAGTGAAAAACCAAAGCATAAAAATAATTCGATGAGTAAGAATAAAATTCCCTCTTCTGAGGTTCCCGGGGCCAGGCCCCTCCCTGCGGCAGGCACTTCCCCTTTCCCTTGCTCATGGAGGAGCCAGGCTGGTTGACTCAGAGCTGGAGCGCTCCAGCCAGGAACCCACCCGAACCCGGCCGGCAGCCGAGCGCGCCCCCGTGCGGCCGCGGGCGGAACTGCGGCCCGAGAGAGGAAGCGGCGGCCAGACCCGCAAGCCCAGCTGCCCAGCCGCTCGCGGTCCCTGCGGGGCCACCGCCCCCGCCCTCCTCAGAGGGGCTGAGCGCCTAGCCTCTGGGGCTCCCACTTCCGCCCGGCCCTCCGCGCCGCCCCGCGGCCGCCCGGGCGGAAGTGCGCTGGCCTCCCGGGTCCCCCACGGCCGAGAGGCGGAAGCGCGCTGCGACCGCCGCTTCCCCCGACCCCGCGGCGCGCGGCGCGTCGGGTTCCGGACAGGTCCCGTGTGACGTGGCCGCGCGCCGGGGGCGGCTCCGGGCTGGGGGCCGGGAGGCCGAGTCGGGCGGGGCAGACCCGGGGCGGGGCGCGGCGCCGCTGCTGGATGGCCGGGGCCTCCCGGAGCGCAGCCGCCGCCGCACGGTGAGTGACCGCCCGACCCTCGGGGACCCGCGCCCGGACCGATCCCCCCGACCCCCGGCCCCACCGGCCCCGGACAGACCCGGGCCTCTGGCCCCCCTTCTGGCCCAGAGCTGAGGAGTTCAACTTCCTTGGGCTCCTCTTCTCCCCCGTCGCCCCGCACGTCGCTGCCCATCGCTCCCTCGCTTTCCCCCTCCGCGTCCATCTCCCACTCTCTCTGGCTCGCTCACTCCTGACTTTCTCTTGCTTTCTTCTTTCCCTCCCCTCTCTCACTCTCCGTACCCTGTTCCTCTCTCCCCAGACTGCGGTCCCCGCACCTCTGCGTGCATCGCCTTGGCCTCCAAGCCTGGCCTGGCCCAGTCCTGCCTTTGGTCCCCGGGGAGCCCCGGCGGGGTTCGTCAAGGTCTCCCGTAAAGGCCGGGAGGTCCTGGACGCGGGCATCCCTCCCACCTCCATCAGGGGATGAGGAAACTGAGGCAGGGACATCGCTGGTTCAAGGTCACGGCCAGATGAGGCAGGGCAGACCACATTTAAATCTCATGCCGGAGTTTCCAGATCGAACTTCTCTGTTGGTTGACTCACATCGCTGTCCTGTGATCCAGCGGCTGGGAACCTTCCTGCCACCGGTGTCCCAGGCTGCCTGCAGTGTAAGGAGGGCTTTCCCGCGCTGCCCCCATTGCCAGGCCAGGTCACCTGCCTTAGCAAGCTCTTCTCATCTTCACAGCCTGGGGGGAGGCAGTTCTCCCACCCTACAGACTAGAAAACTGAGGCCTAGAGAGGAAACTGAGGCCCAGAGAGGGGCTTCGGGGACTTGGCCACTCTCAAAGAGCTGTAGGTGCAGAGCAGAGTTTGGGCCCCGTCTCCAAAGCCCGTGCTCTGCACATCGGTGAGGCAGCTCCCGACTGAAGGATCCTTCTCTTCAGTTCTGCCTCCTGTCTGTCTGTCTGCCTCCTGTCCTGTCTCCTGGAGACAGCGGGCTCACAGCTGAGGAAGAAGCTCTGATGGTTCTGCTCTAGCTCTGCTGCTTGCTTTCCCCGCCTGCACCATCCAGTGTTGCCCATCAGGCTAGACAGTGGCAGCCCCCGTCCCCTGGGTGTCCTCACTGGAGCACATCCTGGCGGCAGAGCCTCCCCTGGCAGCTAGAGACACCCGACTGGGCTGGGCCTGCCGGTGGCTGAAGGGAACCCAGCCAGCACCTCACCCCGTCATTAGGGAAAGTTTAGCCCCGGGCAGACACGCTGACACACAGTCTGGAGCAGGCTCAGGAGGAAAAAATGTGTGGTCCTTGGGAGTGGGGTGTGGAAGAGTAGAGCCCCTTTGCTCTGTGCACCCATCACTGGGGTCCTCAGAGGCCCGGGGCAAGGCAGGCAGGAGAATGGATGCTGTGGCCGCTTGTCTGTGGGGAGGGTTAAGATGCCACGTTTGCTAAGCAGGTGTGTGGCCAAGGGTGGCAGCTCACGTAAGAGGCCTTTGTGTTTTTCAGCACGTGGCATGCCTGGATGTCCCTGTCCTGGCGGTGGCATGGCGGGCCAAAGGCTCCTCTTCTTCACTGTTCTTGCCCTAGAGCTCCTGGGAGGGGCTGGGGGTTCCCAGCCGGCCCTCCGGAGCCGGGGGCCTGCAGCTGCCTGTCGCCTGGACAACAAGGAAAGCGAATCCTGGGGGGCCCTGCTGAGCGGGGAGAGGCTGGACACCTGGATCTGCTCCCTCCTGGGCTCCCTCATGGTGGGGCTCAGTGGGGTCTTCCCACTGCTGGTGATTCCCTTGGAGATGGGGACAGTGCTGCGCTCAGAAGGTAGGTGACCCTCCTCTGGTGCCCAGGGCAGCCAGTGGCGTGGAAAACAGGGCTGCTCTTCCCGGGAGAGTGGGGTCGCACGTCGCAGGACGCAGCCTTCTGGAGTGGAGGGCAGGGACAGAGCACACAGTTTCTCCCCTTGTTGAGACCAGGGTGGACCAGGCTCATTTGTTCCTTCATTTCTGTATTTATTTGTTCTCAAAGAATAAAAGTCGGCAAACATTCATCAAGAAACAATATAGATTGTGGTTGGAAACGTGGGTTTCCTTGGGTTCCATGCCTGGCTCTGCCACTCACCAGCTGGCTGGCATTGGGCAAGTTAACTTCACTTTAGGCTCCCAGCCTTAAAAATGGGGATCATACTGGTACGTGCCTCATACGTGCTACTGGGGAAAGGGGAGGAGCTCATACTGCTGGAGCACTTAGAAGGCTGCCTCGTGCTGGGGGAAGGGCGGCAGGTCTGAAGGCCCGGGGCTGGCTGTATGCTGGAACAGAGCCCTGCCTCACCCTTAGTGCAGAAAAGCTTTTCCACCAAGGCCCCTGGGTCAGCCTTCCTGGAATACATGCGAGGCTGGTGGTGCCCCCCTCTGGGGAGGGGACCTGGGGGGTGAGGGGGTTTGCCCAGGCCAGGGCAGAGGCTCCCCTTTTGCACCGCAGGTGTGTCTGTGCACTGATGGGGCACAAATGCCATGTCGTAACGAAAACTAAAGACTAGATGGGTAGGTCCTAAAAATGCAGGTGCCTGCTGCCCCTCCCAGGAGTGCAGCGTAGCAGGTCTGGCCCCGGGCTCCAGGAATCTGGTATTTCTGCTGCCTGCTAGGCCAGGGAACTGTTCGTTCAGCAGATGGTTATGAGCACATCTGTGGCCCACGGCAGGCTGAGGGCTGGCGCCACAGCTGTGAAGAGAGCCCTCGTGGGGCCTGCCGTCATGGCCTGTGCATCATCTCAACCCCTCTTAGAGTGCCCCTGCGAGGTCAGCCTCGGGGAGTTAGCTCCATTTCACAAATGGGGAAACAAAGGCACCAAGGAGTTCTTTGACCAGGCTGAGGTCACACAGCCTGGAAGCGGCAGCTTCCCCTGGGATCCCACTGGACCACACAAGTGGCCTCTGCCTTCTGCGCCCATTTCTCTGGATAGCCTCCTTCGGGCACTTCCAACTCTTGATGCTGCGATTCTGCAAAAGCCCCCCAGTCTCTGCCACCTTTCTGAGAGTAACAGCGGCTGAGAAGAGAGAAACTCCCCCTAAAAGAGGGCTTGCTGTGTGTATTGTCATTTAATTCCCACAAGGTCCCTATCATATAACAGTCATCCCAGGTTTAGAGATGGGGAAACTGAGTCCCAGAAGTAACCTGCCCAGGGTCACCAGCTGGTCGGTTGGGGGGCTGGGGTCCGTCGGGCTCCCAAGCCCTGTCTCTTAACTACGAAGTCGCAGTGGTTCCACAGCCGTCCAGCGGGCCATGATGTATTTCCTGCTGAGCACCCAGCTGGTGCTGGGCCTGGGGTGGTGGGGGTGATCCAGGAAGGGCCGCAGGCCAAGTCCAGCCTTCTGGAAGCTTGCAGTCTGGTTGGAAAAACACAGCGCCCAGTAAGCTGGGTGGGGCAGAGGTCTGGCCAGGGGCTCTGATAGGCCAGCCCACAAGCCCCGCATCTCCACATCTCCCTTTTGTAGCTGGGGCCCGCCGCCTGAAGCAGCTGCTCAGCTTTGCCTTGGGGGGACTTTTGGGCAATGTGTTTCTCCACCTGCTGCCCGAGGCATGGGCCTACACATGCAGTGCCAGCCCTGGTGAGTGAGGCCACAGTCAGGGGGCAGGAGGGCAGAGGGAGCTGGTGCCCACGCTTCAGGTTACCTAGGCCCTCCTGCTCCACCAGAATGACAGGGAGGGGGGATCTGCGCATATGGCAGGGAACTTGCCCCGGTCCAGTTCCCCGGCCCCTGTGGGAGTCTCTGGGGCCCACCTTCCCCACCAGCCAGTCCTGTCCCACTTCCCCTGTCACTGCCCCTGACGAGGTCCCATTCCAAATGCCCCCCCCTTCTGTGGCCCTGGCTTGGCCTGGCCTGTCAGTGCTGCCCCCTGCAGGTGGTGAGGGCCAGAGCCTGCAGCAGCAACAGCAGCTGGGACTGTGGGTCATTGCTGGCTTCCTGACCTTTCTGGCATTGGAGAAGATGTTCCTGGACAGCAAGGAGAAGGAGGGGACCAGCCAGGTGAGCCCCAAGCCCCGGGGCCTGGACAGGTCAGCCTCTGTTATGTGGTGGTGTGGGAACCTGGAGACCCAGGTTCTGAGTTGAGCCCTGAAAAGAGGGTCTCTTCCCCATTCCCTTGGGGCTCTGGGAGGCCAGGCCAACTGGGAAGATCCGGGGAGTGATGACGTTGGCGCCTGCTGTGGCTTGTTCTCATAAACTGGGAGCAACAGCAGCGTGGAAGGTGGTCAGTTGAGTTGGGGCACACAGCTGACTGGGCAGGAGAGAAGTCTAGCCAGGCTGAAGTACTGTTCCCTCCCTCTGTCTCTCCATCTCTCACTCCCCTTCTGTGTCTACCCTGGCCGAGTGGGGGAACATCTAATGTCCCCTCTCCCTCCTTCTCCTGGCCCTAGGCCCCCAGCAAAGACCCCGCTGCTGCTGCCGTGCTCAGTGGAGGCCACTCTCTGGCCCAGCCGGCTGCAGAGCCCGGCGTGAGTGCCGTGGTCCGGACCATCAAAGTGAGTGGCCCACTCAGGGCCCCTTCCTCCTGCAGTGGTTCCCCACCCCCCAACCAGCAGGCCCAGCTGAACCCTGCCCGCCTGGGTCAGCCTGGCTTCCTCTTCCCTTGCGCAGGTCAGTGGCTATCTCAACCTGCTGGCCAACACCATAGACAACTTCACTCACGGGCTGGCTGTAGCTGCCAGCTTCCTTGTGAGCAAGAAGGTGAGTGGGGGTAGGGAGAGGTGGGCCCCACGCATTTGTGGTGGGAATGATGGTGCCTGTGTTAACCAGTTGGCTCGGCCTCCAAAACAGGTCTCCAGTCCATGCACTTCCCACTCCATCACCAACACCCTCATCCAGGCCCTGAGGGCTGCACGTGGCTGCCTTCTGTCCGAGCCACCGGGCTGTTCTTTGCAAACGCTCCTTGTTGGGATTACATGCCTCTGCCAAGCTGCTAGGCTTGGGCCCTGCCTGCTTCTAGATGCTTCTCACCCACTTCTTCCCTCTGCCCTCTCTGCCTCCTCTTGAGCTGGCCTCGCTCTTTCCCCTCTCCTGACCTCCACCTCACACTATTCCGTCTACCTGGAATGTTCCTCTTCCCAGTCTTTGAAATCCTGGCTCCTTATCCTTCAGGCCTCGGCTGACATGCACATCCTCAGAGAGGCCTCTGCTAACCCCTCCTCTAAAGGAGGCCCCTGTCACTTGTTCCCATGCCACGTGGTCCATCTCTTCCCCCACAGCACCTGGCACTGTGTAATCTTGTGGTTCTTTGTGTGTTCATTCAGTCCTCGCCTCCCCCCTCCAGACTGTTAGCTCTGTGAAGACAGGTTCCTTGTCTGCTGTGTTTCTAGTAGCTGAACGGTATCCAGCCAGAGCACCCAGCAGAGTAAATATTTGTAGACTGAGTGGACAAGTGGGTGCCTGGCCCTTGGCCCAGAACCCCACAGACTCCCTTCCCTGCAGATTGGGCTCCTGACCACCATGGCCATCCTTCTGCACGAGATCCCCCATGAGGTGTGTGCCGGAGGGTTCCCACGGCGGCAGTGTGGGCGTGGGGCTTCAGAGAGGGATTTGGGCCGGGAAACCCCGAGTGGCAGCCTTGGGGGCTGGGCTTTGGAGGCCTAGAGCTGCTTAGCCCACCACGCTGCAGCCACCATCTCAGCTGTGCTCTGGCCTCTGGGGCAGGGGGGCAGGGAATGGGGTCCCAGCCTAGGGGATGCGGGCTGGGGGGCCCAGCAGCAGGGCTGGTGCAGGGGGCTCGGTGTGCAGGTCCGTACCCGACCCCTTGGGGCCCAGAGTGATCATCTGGACCTCCCCTCAGGTGGGCGACTTTGCCATCCTGCTCCGGGCCGGCTTTGACCGATGGAGCGCAGCCAAGCTGCAGCTCTCGACGGCACTGGGGGGCCTGCTGGGCGCCTGCTTCGCCATCTGTACGCAGTCCCCCAAGGGAGTAGGTACGGGCGTGGTGGGTGGCGGTGGCAGGTGGTGGTCAGCGGAGGGGCCCCAGCCAGAGGGCATAGCTGCCCCATCCCAGTGTCCAGGCCAGATCTGCCCCAAGTCTCCCCTGTGGGAGTGGGTGTGGTGCACACAGCTCCCCTGGGCTCCCAGCCATCGGGACTTCTCCTCCCACTGCAGAAGAGACTGTGGCCTGGATCCTGCCCTTCACCTCTGGCGGCTTTCTCTACATCGCCCTGGTGAACGTGCTGCCTGACCTCTTGGAGGAAGATGACCCGTGGTGAGTGCCCCTTGCCGCCATCACTCACGGGGCCCCTGGGAGCTCGGGGGCCGGGGGCGGGGGCGCGGTGGTGCTTCCGGGCTGCGGCCCATCCTCAGCCCCAGCCTGAGCCTGGCCCCTTTCCCCGCAGGCGCTCCCTGCAGCAGGTGCTGCTGCTGTGCACGGGCATCGTGGTGATGGTGCTCTTCTCACTTTTCGTGGAGTGACCGTCCCTGCCACCCCCCACACAGCAATAAGAGACTCGGATTCACTCTGACTGTGTGTGAGGCAGAGGGCAAGTGCCTGAGAGCGCACCTCTGACCAGATGAGAGGGTGGTGTGCGTGCGTGCGTGCGTGTGTGTGTGTCTGACCGTGACCAGAGATATGTGTGAGACCGACACTGTGATAGCGCGCTGGGCCCGGGGCCTGATCCCAGCGCCTGCCCCCAGCCGTGCTGTGGTCCTGTTACCCCTGTCATCCCGCACTTCCCGCAGTGAGCAGTGAGGAATAGCAGCCCTGGTCCCAGGTGGAGGCCTCTCTTGGCCAAGAAAGACCATACGGGGAGTGAGAACAGCCCCAGGAGCCCAGGGCTTCGGGTAGCCAAAGCCATCTCCCTCTGGAGCACTGGGGTTCCTGACCTACTCGGGCTCCGAGCCCTGGCAGCCTGAAGGCTGAGGCTGGGAAGCCTTCTCTCTGCTGTGTCTCTTGTCCGGGCCCTTCCTTTGCCAGTTCTAAGGCCAAAGAAAGGAGAGGCAGGTGCTCGTGTAGCCCCTCGCCCCACTCAGCACTGATGGTCCTCCCCAGCCTGGGATGGAGCTAGATGCTTTCCAAGACCTTTTCCTCGTGGCTGCCAGCCCTGGGCCAGCTCCTGTTCCCCTAGTAAATGCTCCCTGGCGGCGCCAGCAGCTTTCACCACCTCCAGCTGCCAAACAGCAGCCTGCAGGGCAGTGAGCAGCCCTGGGCCACACAGGCCTCCTGGTTCAGCCCAGGGATGCTGGTGCCAGGCCAGGGTGCAGATAGAGATACCCTGGGGGCAGGAAGAATGGGCCATAGCCGCCCCTCCCTGCCCAGGCCCTTTTCCCTGTCCCATTGCGCCTGAGGGTAGATTGGGGGAGGTGAGGGCTCCGCCTTGTCAGCACTCAGGAATGTGCTCTGGGAGAATGCTGAAGCCATAATCCCCAGCTATTTCCCTTGGCGGACACCCAGGTACTCAGCTGGCTCCCTCCACAGCCAGGCTCAGCCCTGCTGCTCAACCGTGGACATTCTGAGAAGTGGCCATCAAGAGGGTCTGAATGGGTTTACAGCAGTTTTGCTGTGGGTCCATTTCTATCTGTAAATAACTATTCTATAGACAATGCAAATAAATATTATATACAAACTGGCTGCCTTTCTTCTGCACACCACAGTCCCTGGTCAGGCAGGGCTTTCCTGGGCTCCCCTTGCTCCAGCCAGGCTGGTGGCTGTGTGGGTCCCCACCCCCAGGCTCAGCTGGCCGTGCTGCCCATCTTGTCATCCCCAGCCCCCCTCCACGCTCATCTGTGAACAGTTACCCTCAGAGTGCTGCTCAGAACAGGGCACAGCCGTTCGTGCTAAACCTGGCGTGTTAGCTCTGGAGCCCAGTCCCACAAGCCTGGCACTGTGCCACCGGAGCCGACATCACCCCCGGGTGGTCGTCCTCTTTTTACAGACTTAAGAGCCAGGGGCTTCTCCCCAGCCTGTCCCGAGTAAATGGAGGAAGGGAGGTCTATCCACCAAGTCGTCTCCAGCTTTGCTTCAATGAAATTAAAAAGATCATGGGGTTCTTCTTACTCTACGGATTCTCACTCCTCTGAATGTCAAGGCTGCTTCCCCACAGGGCTAGCCCAGGAGAGCAGGGAGGGAACAGTGGGATCCCACTGTGCTGAGTCAACCAGGCTGGCCGGCCGGCCTTCAGGAGCCCACAGGATAAGAACTGTCCCATCTGTCCGTCCTGGAGCCCCACTCAGCGGCATGCTCAGCTGGGAGTGCCTGGCTCTGACCCAGTGGCGTGTTGGCAAAAAGGGAGCCACCCCACCTGGCTGTGACAGTCCAAGGTCTGGAAGCCCAGGCCTGATGGTGCCAAAGAAGGAATCCAGGGCTGTCCCCCATCCCCACCTCTCCGGAGTGGCACTGGGGCTCTTACCTATGTTGACCCCTTCCAGGTGACAGGTACACAGGCAATCACAGGGCTCAGCCTGCCCGGGAGAGGCAGTGATGCCATTTATGAAGAAGGGACTGGGGGTTCACTGCAGTGCCATGGCCAGGAGGTGAATGCCCGGACTGGTCAGGCGGGGGAACAGAGAACACAGAAGCAACAGCAGCCAGGTCTGTCCCCACCAGCGGACAGAAACCAGAAGCTCTCGGAGGTTGTGCTGGGAGTGCCTTGGGCAGGGCTTGGAAGTCAACGGGATTTGCAAGGGGACTGCCCCTGTGAGCAACAGCACACTCTAGAAGGCAATCTGGAGGTGACAGGACTCCTGGGTTGGAAAGCTAGCCAGCAGCCAAGCCCTCCAGATAGGCTGTTTTGGTCAGTAGCTCATTGTGGGCATGTCCACTTGGGGAGAAGGCAGGAAAAAGTGTGGAGGGGCTTTTACTAGGGGGTCAAGTAAGAGCTGACAGGAGTTCTGAGGGTCTTTTACTCTAGAAGTATTCCCTGGCCCATGAAAGTTGCTGCTAAGAGCACAGACATGGAACCCAGACGTGTTTTACTGTCTTGGGTTTAAATCCCAGCTAGGCCACCTGAGAGCAATCGTAGCCCAGCTGCTCACACACATCTTGGAAATGGGTACCCCAATGGGGGCTATTGGAATGAGTAGACCAAATTATGCACAGATCCGTCGGGCATGGGGCCCAGAACAGGCCCTCAGTGAACCACACGTCACCAGCTATGATGTTGGGGGGTGGGGTGGGGCTGGAAGGTTGAGTAGACAGAGGACCAACGAGATCCTCAAGGAAACACACAGGACATGGGGCCTGATTTAGAGTGGGGCTGACGGCGGAACTGGGGGGAGCGAGGGGGAGAACACACCGTGACCGAAGGTTAGGCTCAGAAGGGCTCTCAGTGCTCTTGCTCAAGGTTCATTTCTCAGCAGAAGGAAATGAGCCAAGAGAACGAATGGGAACACGTGGAGAAACAGGAGGCTCAGGGGACAGGAAACAGGAGGAATTTCAAGGAGCAAAAACCCAGAGCCTGGCTTTACAGGGAACCAAGGATGAGGGGACCAAAAATGCACAAAGGGGAAAGGCTGGCTTCTATTCTTGGTTCTGGAGCTGCAGGGACCCGGACCTCTAAAGCGGAAGGGTGGGGCAGGGAGCAGGAAAGGGTCCGGCAGGGATGCGGTGGCGGGAGGCTGGAGGGCGCCAGGCAGCAGCTGTGACAAGCGCCCGTACCGCCTGGAGGGCCTCGCCTGACAACTGCTTTGAGGCCCGCAGTGGTTTCAGGGGGTTCCAGGCAGCAGCACCTGGGGACGGAGCCTCCTGCACTGGTCCCACTCTTGCAGCCAGGCAAGGTGCAACAGACAGGTGGCAGGGACCTGAAACCATCTTTTATTATGAATTTTAACCAGCACCAGACCAGGGAGCAGGTGTGGTGGGCAACCTCCTAGGCATAGTACTGCAGGTTGGCTTTCTTCTTGGCCTGCACCTCCAGGATGCCCTCCATGTAGTCCTCATGCGTGAGCTCCGTGGCGCCCCTGCGCAGTGCGATCATGCCCTGCACCAAGGACAAACAGGCTCTAGGGTGCCTTCCTGCACCCCTGGCCCGGATCCCAGAGGCCTCGGCCTTCTGAGCCTCTTCCCCCAGACCAGCAGTCTCCACCAGCCAAATGCCCCATCCTGTGCAGCGAAGAGGAGCAAGAAGGCATGAAGTAACCCACTCCCTCACACCACCACTCACCGCCTCCACACACACGGCCTTGCACTGGGCCCCATTGAAGTCATCCGTACAGCGGGCCAGTTCCTCATAGTTCACATCGGGACTGAAGGGCGGGGGGAGGGGGAGAGAGAACACCACAGGACTCAGTTATTTATGGTTACGGGGAACGGTGGGAGATGACGTCCGCCCAAACTCCCCATCAGCAGTGAGGTCCACTTGCCCTAGGACTTCGGCTAATCCCCCCCCTTCCCTGCTATGCCTTGTTCCCTTCTCAGTACAAGGACGAAGGGCAGGTAGGTCAAAGCAGACACCAGGTTATTTTTTTATTATTATTATTTTTGTGTCTCTTGAGCTCTAGCCTTCTAGAAATCTGCACGTAAGATGCCAGGGACTGATTCAGCCTGGAGTGGGGGAGCAAGAAGATGGCTGTCTCCCCTTCTTTCGAGGAGCGCAGGCCCTGCATCAGCACAGAGCTGTCTTGCTCTCATGTGCCAAGCACTTCCCTTGATGGTGCCATGACCCCATGAGGTCAGTGGCATTAACCCTAAGCACCAGACAAGAAAACTCGGGCTTCAACGGGTAATACCACCTACTGGAGGTCACACAGATCCAAATCCAAGTCCATCTAGTCCCTGGGTAGGTTCCCCAGAGCCATGCTGGGCTGTGCTCATCTGCTGGGGTGGAGGAGTCAAGGAAACTGAGGGCCTCCCACAGGGGAGGAAGGGGCAGGGTGATTCTAAGGAGCAGAGCACCCAGAATCAGGGCCTGGACCCCAGCAAGACTCTACCTCAGGCTTCTGGGAAGAAACGGAGGAGGCATGTAGAATAGTTCTGTGTGGACAGGGAGGGAGAAGGGGTGGGCAGAGACCAGGGGATGGGGATGCGCAGTACGAAGGGCAACAGAGAGTGCTCCGCTGCTGCCCCTTCGGGTCTCGGCGCCTTGCTCATGTCCTTGCTCACCTGACGTTCATCTTGCGGGAGTGGATCTGCATGATTCTGGCCCGGGCCTCCTCATTGGGCATCGGGAATTCAATCTTCCGGTCCAGGCGGCCTGAGCGGAGCAGTGCGGGGTCCAGGATATCCACCCTGTTGGTGGCTGCAATCACCTGAGCAAGGGGAGAAGCGCAACGGGAAATGAGGAAGATGGGACTCCCAGACAGACAACCGTCAAGGCCACGACAGGCAGATAGGCAGCCCAGGGTCCAGATCAAACAGCAAGGGTGTTAAAAAACAATCTCAATTGTAATTCTAGCTGCACTAGCTGGGTAACCGAGAAGGTGCCCTTCCCTCTAAACTCCGTTTTCTTAATCTGTGATGACAATACTCACCTTTACTTGAGTGTTGGGTTGGAACCCATCCAGCTGGTTCAGAAGTTCCAACATCGTCCTCTGCACCTCCCGGTCTCCAGCCTTCTCACTGTCAAAGCTGGAGCACACAAGAAGCCCGAGACACTGGT